GACCAGCTTAAGTATGATAGTTTTCTTACATTAGATGTTGCATTTGAGATATGGTGGAACCAACATTGGCACGTGTATGATTTAAAATAGAATGACATTAGAGGATTTGGAAAGTCAACTCGCAGACTTGAAGAGAATCAATCGTGATTTAGATGGGCGGAGTAAAGAAGTTGATTCGTTGATTCAACAGGAGTCCATTAAGGTTTTTGCAGATTAAGTAGATTATGATATTGTGCAATATCATGTAAGAAGTGATGATGACAATATTACATGTGCATCTACATCACTTGCAGCTTGATGTTGAGACAAACTCCTTGCTTGTCATGTTGTCTGAAGTATTATCCGAAAGGGACACACATGAAGGAATTGGTTCGTTGAACCCAAATTACATTGAATTTGTCATGCCATTAATTGATTCGTCAGGCAAATCTTTATTATCTTGCGTTCAAACAGGAACAGCGAAAAATTTTATATTCCAATGCACAAATGGTATCCAGGACATAGTAAACATTGATCAAGCATTCACACATGAACTTCAAAATTTCCGTGAGAATATACTCCCACAGGTAAGAATTCGAAATTTTATTGCACATTTTATGTTCTTAGAATTTATTGCAATCTGAAATTACTTATTTTAAGAATATAGATGGAATTTTTGATCCGAAAACTTTATATGATGAAATTAAACGCCTAAAATCCCTGTAATACTCTCCTAGACTTTATATGAGTGACGCTAAGGGAAAATCAGACTTTGATATTTTTAATCTTATAACTTACCGAATTCACTTCCTGAAAATATGAATGATTGAGTCCGGTAGGCTATAACTTTAAAAGTCCAAAGTCTGTTTTTTTCTTAGCATCGTTCCTATTGTTCCTTATCCGTTACACAATCATAAAGTAACAATAATGTATGTTTTTAATAGCTGCCCGAAAACTGAACTTAAATATATTGAAGCGATTGCCCGTCGTGAATATACGTCTACATATTTACGAACGCTCGAAAGCGATACCTTAGGACTAGATTCATTTATTCCTGACTTCAATAGTTTAGAGTAAGTCCAATTGAGTTTTCATAAATTCATCTTTCAAAACTCATTGATATTTAACATTATTATTTCGTTTTAGATCAAAACGTGATCAATATATAAGTGACAGTGCTATATTGGACCAAGAGATCAAGTCGGTTTTGACTTCAAGAATTGGAGAATATTTAAAAAACCTCACGGTGTTGCAAATTGAAAATCCACTATTGATGGCCAATTATTCTGTTCAATTAAAGTATCAAAAGTCGTTAATA